CCCCAAAACCCCAAAACCCCAAAACCCCAAAACCCCAAAACCCCAAAACCCCAACTAGCTCATGAACTAATGAAAATTAAATCAAAAATTTTATAAAATAAATTTAAACAGAAAGAAAATGCCTAAGAAAGAAGGAGGCCAGATCACCTCGAAAGACATTCAGGGAATGATTTCCAAGTGGGCGTCTATCCCATTCGGAATTGTCGTTGTTCTTGTTGCAGGAGGAGCGCTTAATCTTGTTCCATACTTCCTCGATCTCAAGGACAAGCTAGGATTCGAGCCCATCCACCAGGAGTTCATCAGGTGGGGAGTCCTCTTCGGCTACTTCGGAGGTTTGTTGGCCGGACCAATAGTCGACATCATCGGAACAACAATATCATTCTTGATTGCTGCCGTTATTGCAGGAGCTGGATTTGTAGGTCTTGCTTTTTATACTGACTCCTCCAACGTTAATACTTTCAATTCCATTGTGATAGTCTCTTTGGTTTTACTAGTATCATTCTCTTGTGCTATTGCTACTATTGCTTCAATTGCTACAGTCATCAAGAATTTCTCAAGAAACGTTGGAGCTTTGATTGCAGCCGTTATGATCTCATATTATTATGCTGCTCAATACTTTGACACTAGCATCAGGAATGGATACTTCGAAGACTTGGATCTGAAAGTGAATATGCTTGTCTCAGGGGGAATCCATTTCTTAGTTTATGTTTTAGCTTCATTCATTGTTGATGAGAATGAACAATCCAGAGAACTCAAGAGAGCTTCCTCTATCACTGATAGACTTGGAATTTTCATCTATGCTGCCATTGCCGGATGTTTCCTTGCTGTAGTTTATTTCACTTGTATCATTGCTGAACAATATCAACTCTCTATTGTTCTCATGAGTGTGATTATCCTTGCTAACTTCGTAGCTCTTGCTTTTACAGTCCAAGCTATGATTGGTCAAATCGAAAATAATGATCTTTCCGGCATTAGAGATGAGCCAATGCCTCCAAAGAAAAACTTCGCTCAGATGCTAGCTGAGGGAAGGTATTGGTTCTTGCTTATTGGAACTTTCATTGTCATTGGTACAGGATCAACTTACTTTATTAATGCTTCAGATGTTGCTACAGCAGTTGGAAATGCAGATCTTGCAGATAAGGTCGACTATGCTTATTGGATTAGCGCAGTTTCCGCTATTCTTGGAGGTGGTATGGTTGCCGCTCTATTTAATCAATTTATTAATGCTTGGCTCTTTGCTGCTATTGCTGCCTTTGCTTCCATGGCTGGATTTGCATTAGTATTTTTGTCACAGACTAATGATTTCTTCTATTACCTCTCTGCCTTCTTTATTGGAGCTGGAACAGGAGGATGGTGGGTCGTTGTTCCTCAGATCATTCTTGATGATGCTGGACCAAAATCATTTGAAAGTTTGTGGGGAATGACTCTTAGTGTCAATTCCTTTGGTATGTTTGTATTTGACAGATTCTTTTGGTGGGTGAGTGAAAAGACTGAGCCAACAAAGCCAGGAAACTGCGATGGAACATCATGTTATCTGATTACGTTCGTAGCATTCGGAGCCTTATGTATGATAGCGGGTATTTTATGTCTTGTTGGATTAAGCCAAGATGAAGGAACTGGTGGAGATAATGATGAAAAAAGACCTCTCAAAAGCTCAGATGCTAATTCATCAGGAAGAAGATCTAGATCAGGAAAGAAAGACAAGGGAGACAAGAAGTCTAAGAAATCTTCATCCAAGAAAAAGTCAAAATCAAAATCAAAAGCCAAGAGATAAATAAGATATATAATCTTGAAGTCAATGAAATGGAATTATCAATAGTTTAAATGCAACTAGGAGTAGTAAAGTTGGGGTTTTGGGGTTTTGGGGTTTTGGGGTTTTGGGG